ATATTTCTTAAATCTCGTGCCAAATTTAATTAAGACTATAGTTTTGGGACGGAAGAAATATATTTTTGATACACTTCTTCGTACCGTACACAAAAAATTATATTTCATCCAAAAAATGCTGGGTGAACGGAATTATTGGGTGTTAATTTGCTTAATTTATATTCTTTTCTTTTGAACTAAAAGAATATGTTTTTATCATTTTTGTTATGCGATATTAAAAAATATTATTATTCTTTAGTTATATAAAAAATAATAACATATTAGTACTAAAATATAATATTCCATTTTGTTATATTGAAAGGTTTTTATTTTTTATTTTTGTTTATCTTAGTTACTATTTTCTAGTTTAGTAATTGTACTACCTATCTAACATAATAAATATTCTTCTAACTTACACTATATTACATAAATATTATTACTTTTTATATTACACAATATTAATATGGACATTTTCATCTTTTTCCCTACAACTCATCATTATCAGGGCTGGCTTGTAGCAGGAGCAGGGTGAGCAATTGCTCAGGGCACCTAATTAATAGAAGATCTATATTTTAAATATTATCTATTATTATTATTAAATTTTAAGTTTAATTTATATATTTTTTTTCTTTGTAATTATCTTATTTAAAATTTAAAATTAAATTTTAATTTATAATTATTTTTTTTTCTTTCTAATTGTCTATACTTTTTTACCTTACATTCTATTGCATTGCGTCCATCAACTCAATCAAACCTGCCTCACATTTTCTCTTATATCTTTCACCCTCCTTCAATCCTTCTTGATTTTCGAACTTTGAGATAGACCATCTTTCATCTTGTTTTCTCAAATTGACATTGTCCAGACGGTCATGTAGGGCCTATAATTTATTTTCGCTCAGAGCTTAAAAAAAGTTTGAGACGGCCCTGATCATTATGATGCTAATACTAAAAAATTTACGTGCAAAAAATAAACAACAACCTTGTACCAAAACAGAAGGAGTATTTAATTTTATATAAATTACAAATATATCATTACAAAATTATCTTACACATTTCTATTATCAATAAAATACTAATATTATTTATTAATTTAATACAAAGCTCCAAAAAAACATATTTTACCGGAAAGATTGAAATGTTATATTAATATAAATATTGTACCGTGGAAGTATGATTCATGTGTTATCTATCCATATTAAGATAGGTTTTTATTATGACGTAAAAATTCACATAATTATTTTTTAGTGCACTCAGAGTAAATTTTCAGTCTAACGTAATAGTTTGTAAATAAAATATAGTAGTAGTTAATGTCTATATTTAATAAGAAATTTAAAAATAATATTACATATAAATAATAATTGGCTGATACTTTTCGCATATAAAAAGATTTTTTTTTTGGTCTTGTGTTTTAATTTAATACAATAATATAAACAAATGTATATTTAAGAATAGTTATAATGTGTATTGAGTATACATTTATTAATAAACATATATTTTATATTTAAATAGACAAAAAAAATTATATTTTATATATATATTTGAGTTTTTGTAGCAAAACACATCCGTACCTTTTTTTTTTTTTTTGTATCATATATTACTTCCATTACACTCTAAGAGTTTCATTTATTTTTTGTTCATTGATATTTGAATATTTAATTATTAGATAAAGATTTTTATCAGTGTTTTATAATACTAATAGAATGACATTTGTAAAAAAATTATACAATTATAAAAATATTTTTAATATTAAGTATAATGATGCAAAAGATAAATATGACATTTAGAAGCAGGCTAATGAAGTACATTAGATCGAAACAATTATTCAAATAAAAAACAAAAGTACAAAACATAAAATCAAACAAAAAATAATTTAAATTATTAAATTTAATAAAATATAATATCAAAATAATATTTAAATTAAAATTCAAACAAAAATCTCAATTACAAATCTAAACCAAATATACACATATTTTTAAATAAAAAATATAAATAATGTACATGTAAATAATTTTTAATTTAATAATATAGATAAAAATGAATGTTCAATATACTCCCTCCGTCCTAAAGATACGTCTTGTTGGGAGTTGACACAGAAATTAAAGAATGATACTATTTAATTAAAATGGGTATAAAGTAGAATGTAAAAGACTATAATGCCATTATTTTATTTTTTTTTGAAGAATTTTAAAAAGTAGATTAGAGTAATAATTAAAAATAAATTGAAAAAGTAGGAATAATTTTGTTATAAAGTGAGGACGACGACTACTAAATAAGGAAACAAGACAATTGTTTTGGAACAACGAAAATAAAAAAAATAAGACAATTCTCTTTGGGACGGGGGGAGTAATATTTTTGTTAAAAATATTTATAATTGTCTTTTTATGAAAAAAAATATTGTTAAAAATACAATTAATTGAGCAAACAACAACAATAATATTCGTAATAATAAATAAAATATTGAAGACTTCCATCATTGGGCAATGCTTTGAGGAATGTTTGCTGCATCATTTTGGCGCCTTTCCTTTATTTTTGAATCACAACGTTCTAGTTCTAGGCCCACTTTCTTTTTATTTCTAAATAGAAAATTAGTATTAAGCTTTTTTTTTTTTTTTTTCCTATTTAATATATATATTTATAAAAATATTCGTTCTTAAAAATTTTACCAAAATCTTACTGTTCATTAAATTTTTTCTCTTCGAAAACATCAAATAAAACACCAATTTTTTATTTTTTTATATTATATTAAAAATTAATTTTACATTCAAAACATAATATCAACACCTATTTATATCACATCATACAACTATTACAATTTAAAGTTTTTATTACTCAAAACCCAATAAAATCCCATCTCCCGGACAAACACATTCTAAATTGGCCAAACGTGTCAATTATTTAGAGACAGAGGAGAGTATATTATTATTGTTATTATTATTATTATTCAATAGGTATAATATTAAATAAAAATATTATTATTACTCTTATTTATATAAAAATACTGTATTTAAATTAAAATTAAAGTGCATGTTCACTCAATTTTTTTTTTTTTTAAAACACATTTTAAATTAATATTTTAAGAAAATATATATAATACTCAGGGGCTGCGTTTTACAATTAGCTGATAGCTTATAGTTATTAGCTAATTCAATTAATTAACTGTTAGCTAATTCAATTAGTTGGTTTGATTAGCTGATTTAATTAGCAATTTGTATTAAAGTGTTTGGTAAAACAACTGTTTGACATTAGCTGTTTATATATAAAATGATTATTAAAGACATTGATTGATATGTTATTTTTTAAAATATCTAATTTTGTTCATTTTAATTTGAAATTTATGAGAATTTTTGTTATTAATTATTGTTATAAAAATATTATAATATATATATATTTTTATTATTTAGATCTGAAAAAATAATTTTTACTAAAAAATAATATTTTTTTATTGAAATGATGTAAAATATAAAATAATAAATCTTTCGTATATATATTTTTATTATGTTAATTATTGTTTTAATATATATAAATAAATTAATAACCTTTATTTTTTCTATTTGATTTAATTTTAAAAATTTATATATTTTACAAATAAAATAATTTATATATAATAATTAATAATAGTAATTATTTTAAATTTACAAAAATAAAATATAATTTAATAAATTAAATATATTAAAAATAATTAATAAATACTGCTATAAAAATATATTTATATATATAAAATAAATAATTAAGTTTTAAGGGAAAACAAGGAATAATCAAAATTAAAATGAAAAAACTCTTTCAAAATGTTGGGTAAAGCTTTTCAGAAATTAGCTTTGGATCTAAAAAAAACTTTTTCAAAAAACTAATTACCAAACACTAAATTAGCTTTTTGACCTGTCAAAAAGCCGAAAGTGGCATAATAGTTACACATTTTTTATTTTAGTATGTCCGCTAATAGTGGATATGTTTATATTTATAATAAATATATTCACTTTAAACATATTTAATAATTAAATTAAATTTGTAACTTCTTTTCTCTATCAATAAATAAATATTATAAAAATAAAATTTTATTTTTTTATAAAATAATATCTATATTATGTAGTATATTTTAAAGATATATTATATAATGTTTAAAATATTAAACACGTCCTAAATTTATTTTAATCACACATATATATATATATATATTAATTCTTATTTTAAAAATATCAATGTCACTAAAAAATACTCCACGTAATTTGTTCCATTTCCGTTCTACGTAATTTGTCATTTATTTAGGGAAATATAATTATGCATTTTAATCATATTTTAAATTTTATAATTTTTAAATTTTAATTAAACTATTTAATTATTTTAATTTTAATTTTAATATATAATAATTATTTTTAATAATACTTTTTAATTACTTACTTATTATATTTTATATAAATCCTTATATGACGAAGAGAGTAAATAACATATCACCAACCAAACATCCTTTTTTTTTTTTTTTTTTTTTAATTTATCAATTTTAAATATATTTAATATATAAAAATCAATTTCATTAGTATAAAAATTTGTAACATTGATTAGTAATTTGTAAATATTAGATAATTTATTGTCTATATTAGTATTATAAGTATAATTTTAATTGTATGAAGATTGAAGAGGAGGACAAACTTTTTCTGCATATTTCTTATATATGAATCATACATAGTCAAATTCAGGCGGTATTTATAAGCCACCGATTTCCCCCGCCCATCAATTCTATTTATCCAATTTTAACTCTAAATATTTCTACGGTAATTTTACTCAAATCCCTCTGTGATTTTTAAACTAAATTCTCATTCTACTTTAAAAATTACATGATATGCCCTTGTAGTTTCAAAATGTTGCATGAAACCTTCCGCCATGAAAAAAATATAGATAGAAAATACAAAGGAGTGCTATGCAATTTCTAATGTATAAAAATTTTAAGTCGAATTTCAAAACTATAAGGGACGTAGAGCAATTTTACCAAAAAAAAAAAAAACAAGAAAGGAAAATGTGATAGAGACACTATAGTTCAGTTTAAACCAGATAACTTTATACTGAGCTCATATAAACTCCTAGATCTAATTTACCAAGATCATTAGGGAAAAAAGTGTACCATAAAAATTTACGACTAAAATAATACTCCTATATTAGGTTTCACTGGACCTTAAGAATGATTTACTACAACAAATATCTTGAACTATCCTTGCATGATTCCTCTACAAACGCAGACAAACCTTTAACCAGGTAAATTATCAAATTTGTCTAAGGTAAAGAAGGTAATAGCCTGGATGATAAATACATACCCAAAGAAGATCATCAGGGGCAGCAGACATGGCCCATTCAGTTCCAAAAATTGCCATTTGCATCGCCATTCTTGCGAGCATTCAACCAGCCGATAACCAATTACAGTACCTAAACAACCAAACAATTTCATTGCATCAAGTTTTAAACTTAATCTGCATTGAATAAATGATGATTACCTTGAAAGAAGTAGTAAAACATAGGCGCGAAAACTTGTCAGAGCAAGAAAGTAAAAAAAAACATCATCGCTCCAGCACAATCTCAAGTAATATCCATAAGGGAAACACTTTGTGTAGAATCCAAAGCCCCGGCTATTTCCTGAAACCTGAGTTATGGAACCAATAGCTCGCCATTAGTCGATTTAATTTTTTATTGTCGAAATGTAGGTGTAAATGTTATAGATATACCTCAAGAGAGAAATAAACTCCAGTATTCCATTGCTTCATAAACTCCTCCTCCCAACCAACACCAATAAGTCTTCTGCAAGAAAAGACAATCTCAACCTTCAAATGGGAATTTAATGGCATCACCATCATTCGCAACTTGTATTTCCGTCACTTGATCGCAGCAACTAGAACAGAAAATGCAGAAAAGCAAATGCACAATGAGATTTGCAAGAAAATTTATAATGGAAGAAAGATGCATCAAGAAAACAAGCAAAAAAACATAAAACTGGTTTCATTGGTCCCATGATGATCATAAAGCAGCATTACAATTTACTCATCGAGCAAATAATTCTGTTATTAATAACATCAATCGCCAACGAAACAGATAAGATCATAAACCAAATTATTAATCCCAAGATGATTGAAATGCAGCAGTGCAACAACTTAGTCATAGTGAAATTATTAAAAAAAATAGAAGCTAAGAGAAGATGCAAGTATGTAAGTGATCATTTTAATGATTAGTTTGGAAAACAATTTAGCTATCGATTCTTATCCGCCATTCATAATCATCCAAGCTACTGATCTAACACACATTGCTACCTTCTTATACAGAGCAGCATCTCTGTATGTACGAACTCCTTCAGGATGATGGATGAACTCCTTCAGAATCCGAGAATTCTTGCCCATACTTCATTTCTTGCATAACCAATCGAGCAAGGTCATTCCTGTTGACAGTCTTGTAAGCATCCGCGACAGCCTTGTACAAAGACTCACTCCCTTGGATCGCCCCGTACTTCAACTGGCTGTGCACACGCTTCACGCCTTCAAGCATGCCGGCTTTTCCGTAACACTTGACAAGATTGATCATAGTCACAACATCCGGCTCGATCCCCTCGTCTTGCATCTTCATGAACATGTTCAAGGCCTTGTCAATCTTCCCATAAGCTGTGTAGGCGCGGATCGCAGCATTGTAAACGACAGAGGTATCCAATCCGCCACTTCCCTTTCCAGAGATTCCGCAACCTTCCAAGGCATACGAATGCAGACCGACTACGGAGAACACAGACGTTATCACAGCTTGCTTGACGAACGATTTACCTTCCTCGTAAGATGATTCTAGCTGCTTCACTGCTTCTATCGGGATCCCTCCCTTCTTTAATATCGTAAACATTGCTTTGAAGGTACCCTCGTCCGGCGAAAGCTTTAGATTCATTACCATTTCATGTAGCAATTCTCCGCACTCGACTAGCTGCCCGTTCGCTGCGTAGCATGTCATTAATTTGTTGTAAGTCATGCAATCTTTTGGCAAACTAGAATTTTTCAACTCGTCTGCAACTTCGATCGCCTCTTTAAGCATCCCCGTGTTTTTGTATAAATACATCATGGTTGTGTATGTAATCTCATCAGCTGAGCCGTTTTCCCGAAGAGAATCAAACATCCTTTGCACCTCCGAAAGCATTCCCAACTCGGCGTATAGCTTGATCATGCTGTTTGATGCCGCGATATCAGGGCCTCCATCGAGCATCTTCATCTTCTCGTACATCTGCTTTGCACCTTCGACATGTCCGATTTTACCATAAGCCTTAATCATGGAAGTTAGAACTATTCGATTTGCTGGAATCCCGGCGTCTCCCATTGCATCAAAATAGCGCTGTACTTCTTCGAATTGTCCCTCCTCTGCAAAGGCATCGATCAACAACCCATAAACAACGTCGTTTGGTTTTACATCTGCTCGCAACATTTCTTGGAACATAGCGACTGCCTCGGGCAGCCTCTTGTTCTTCCCCAAGCAACCAATCACGGCAGAAAATGTCGAGCACTTGGGCTTAAATCCCGCTTCCTGCATTTCATCCAGAATATCTGTCGCTTGGTCTGCTAAGTCCCCTCCGGCAAACATTTGGATCAATGAGTTGAATGTGCACTCATCCGGCCACACCCCTTGATTTCTCATCCCGCGGAAAAGTGAGAGAGCTTTGTCGTACTTTCCTGCCTTACCATAAGCTTTGATCATTACATTGTACTCCAAAACATTTGTCTTTTTCCCACAGCCATCCTTTTTTGCGTCGAACAAAGCCTCAGCTTCTGCCCAATGTCCCTTCTCTGCATATACATCCATTACAGCAGCACACGTCTTCGAGGAAAGCTCTCCATACAGTTGGAATGTGTGAACCAGAAGCTTCGATCGCTTCAAATTTCCTGCATCAACATACATCCTAGCAAGAAGAGGAAGAGAGCTTTCGTCAATCCTCCTCCCTAATTTCTCCATTTCACTAACTACATCTTCGACCTCCTGAATCATATTTCTCTCACTCAATATTTTAAGAACAGCTCTATGGGTTACATCATCGGGACGAAGACCTACTTCTTGGATCTTTCTATAGCACCGAAGAACTGCATCTATGTTCTCTGCATCTACATACAGAGATATAAAAATGTTGTATGTCTTTGTATCGGGCGAAATCCCCCTTTCTTCCATTTTTTCAAGCAAAGCCTCGGCCTCCAACAGATCCCCATGGCTACCACAAATGAAAATCATCGTGTTGAACGTAAAAGCATCCGGTGCCACACCCTCCTTCAACATATCAGCAAAAACATCCGCAGCTTCCTTCAATCGACCAGCCTTACCATACAAGTCTATAAGAGTATTGTAAGTAGAGGTAAGCCGCGGCTTTCCCACGAAACTCTCTGCATCTTTAGCATCATCCCTACCATGTGACCTCCCCCCAGTACGAAAAAGCTCTGTCGACAAAAACTCTTTCAGAGTAACAGCTTGTCCGTCGCTGATGCTATCTAAATTAAGACCATCCAATTCGATCTTCCCAACACACCAATCTTTATAGAACCTATCCGCCCTGCAATATTCCCTTGCATCCTTCAACACCTTAACGACTGTCGACATTGTTACTTCATCCGGATACATTCCCCTCACCTTCATATGTTTGATCCACAGAAGCGCCTCCTTCACCAGCCCTGCCTTTCCATATACATCCACAAGCATCCCATATGTATTGTTCGTCGGCACGACTCCTTTTCGCGCCATTTCAATCCAATATAGCCTCAATTCATCCCATTTTTGAGCTCTACCCAAAGCCCTAAGCACAATGTTGTAGTGTATAACGTTGGGATTGTAATCCCTTTGTGACTTGAACCAGTCGAAAATTCTAACCACCTTCTCCCACCTCCTTTGCTCCTTGAGAATCACTGTCTGCTCCTTAGGGTTAAGATTACCATAATACATATCTAGTGTGTTTTCGATATCCTGTTCGGATTCCAAATCACGCAGAACGGACGGCAAAATGCCTCCGTATTTCTTGCTTTTTCCTCTATTCATAGTTTTGCCGGTATTGGCCACACTAGTTGAATTACTCTGAAGCTTAAACCCTGGAGAACCTCCATCTTTGCTAGTACTTGTTGTTCTCTTTGCGTTTTGTAAATCCTTTCTGTATTTACGCAAGTGAATCGAAATCAAAAGGGTGTAGGGCGTGGGAAACTTACATGAAGAGGAAGATGAAACCGGTGAGAATCTCATGTCCGCGGACGAGCCGGCACAGCAGCTCCGAAACATCATTCCACTTCTCACTGGTGAAAAGCCTTCGAAAGAACGAAGAAGGAAGAAAAGAAGAAGAAGAAGGAGGTGCAATGGCGGCGGCGGGTATAATCTTTAATTTGGGGTATATGTTAAATATATATAATTAAAATAATTTTATAAACAATAATAATGATTTTTATTTATTTTATTTTTTTGATGACGTGGGAACTGCAGTTGTTATCCGAAAGTGTGAACTGGGTAAACCCTAGCAGAATTTAATACCCTATATATCAGTCCCATAAAAAAATTATATTAAACGAACCACATGTGGCAGATGTACGTTAGGGGTTTGAATTTTGTATATTAAAAATATATTTTTGATAATTTATTTCACAAATGTTATATATTATAAAAAATTAATAAACATAGGAAAAAAATGATTAGCTTCATAAAATATAATTTTTATTATATATATTTCATTTGTATTGAATTTATTTATTTAGTGTCTTAATTTCAAATTTTTTTTATATCAAATATAGAAATTATAGCGATAATAATGACAATTTATATTTTATGTTAAATAATTATTTTTTTAAAATTATTTATTATTCATTATGTTTATATATATATATATTATTTTTTAATTATTATTCATTAAAAATTGTATAAAAAATAATAATTTTCTTTTTCTCTCGGCTCCCAATCCAAAAACCCTGGCTCCCGTTACTGTTTATGTCTAAAATAAAAAATATATGCATTTAAAAATTCAAAATGAACAAACCCTGTCTCATTGCTGTGATATTATATAGTGTGTATATATATATATATATGATAGAAAGTTATTGTAATGAAAATATAATTACTATAATGTTAGTTTCTAAAATAATTATATAATATGTATACAATCATGAAATAAATTGACAAAATATATAATATTTCAGGCATCCCTGTGTGTATATATATATATATCTGAAAAATAAATGTAAATCCCCAATTTAAGTTTCTTCATTTCTATGTTATTTTCCTCTCACAAATAATATATTTTTAACATATTCATAAACTAGATGGGGAAGACGACTCTATTGCTCTTCATTTCTCTTCTCCTTCTACTCGGTTAGCCATCGCAGGGGCAATTTTGTAATTTCATCTTAATTTAAATAGACATGCGAAAACTAACGTACAAATTAATGTAATACAGGAGAAGAAGGACGGGTGTGCCGAGGGCTCGACCAATGCACGGCGGAGTTTCCGGTGAGCAGCGCTTGTACGATTAGAGAATTGTTCGTTTGCCAGAAGAAATGCATGATAGCTCATCCAAACAAGACCTACTACGGCACCGAATGCAAGCCTCCAAAGGGTAAAGCCGTAGCTTGTGTATGTACATATTCCCCTCCTCCTTGTTGAGGATGATCGATCATCGATCGATATATGTACTAAATAAAACAACTTCATATTATGTAAAATGACTTTTTCTATTTTTAAAAGTTTTTTCTTTTTATGTTTGATAGTTGTTAAGAAGGGATCCGGACATCTAACCTACAGCTGACTTCAACCCTTAAACAGGATAATCGGGTTAGCTCTGGTATCATGTTAAGAAGGGATCCGGACATCTGACCTATAGAGCTGACAATGAGTCGATTCGTGTCGGGTTGAATACTTTAAACAGGATAATCGGGTTAGCTCTGGTATCATGTTAAGAAGGGATCCGAGCATCAACCTAATCCGCCTCCCCATGTCCTTTACAAGGAACTCGGTGGATTGAAACATTTTAGTTTCCTCGACTTAAACTTACTTTGTTCTGATTATCAATAAATCACATAAAATAAATGAACTTTATTACCTGTAGATGCATACTGCACTGCAGCTCATCGATTAGCCGACCTATTTTCCGACTCGATTGAGCACACGGACGGTCGCCATGGATGTCACTGCTGGACAACAATATGAAGTTCATATACAGCTATCACATGAACATATATAGTAAACATGTGAATCTCAGAAGGAAACCTTGTCGATGGTGAAGGATCATTATCACAACGTGCAAAAAGACATCGGCAGAGCTTGAACCCCTGTAATAATTCAGCATTGCGATATCAGAACATAGTAAACAGAGAATGAAGTAACATCAATTTTCTACCTCAGTCCCAGTCTTGCGCCAACACTTTCCGATCCTGTAGATTCCATCGTAGCGCACACCTTCTTTGGGTGCATATGAGGATCTATTCTCCTTGCTAGACCTGTCAATTTTATATACAAATTAGCGTATGAAATGCAGCTACGAGAATCCTACATCACTCTTACGACATTCTCAACAAATCTAAATCAAGAGGAACTCAATAGGATGACAATATCATTGCCTGGCGACACAATTTTCGTTCTAGACTGTTCCAAACAGAGAAGTATCAGCTTACCTCACAACTTGGACAGCATACCCTTGTCGGCAGCTGATTCGTTAAAGCTTCATTGAAGCTTTCAAATTTCTGATCAAAGGACTGTTTGCTGTTTGTCCTTTTATTTCCAGAAAGGTCGCGACCACTGCTGTGACATTTAATAAAGGTTATACATAACATACAAGATGTCATGATAAAAAAAACTAAGACGACATGAAAGTGAAGTTGTCCTAACAAGGAATTGTCGATAACAAGCAAAACAAGAAACATGACAAGAGAACAAGGACTGAGGATTTTGACCCCAATCCATACTGATCAAGCATTCAACACATCTAGACGTGAAATGAATCATTTTTATCAAATTTCACAATTATTGCTTCCAAACAAGCTAAACTAAATCATACAAAATTACCAAACTTAATTTATTTCGACTATTTTGTCAAAAAGAAAAAAATCAAAATAAAAATGAGAAGCAATTGGGACTCATTCAAGCAGCTTCAAAATGACAACAAAACAAGCACAGGAGTTACCGGATGTTTGGGTCGACGAAGCACGGCTACATTATGGTGCAGTTGCACTTGGATTCAAGCTTCGGAGGAATTGAGGTGTCACCCTTACTAGGAGACACGACGACGTGGGGAGTGGACTTCACATGGTTCTCTTCCATAACCAGAGGAAGTTTAGGATGGTCTGCTTCCAATTTTTTTTGCTGGGCTTTGAGTTTGGAGATGTGCTTTCTTGAATGCATTTCTCTTCTGTCTTGGGTGGATTTGCTGACGAAAGTTAGTGCCGGTTGAAGAACTTCCACCGGTGGGCTCTCTTTGTCTATTGCTATGTTCGCTGCTTTGTATGCCAGATTGTGGACAATTGATCGACAAAAGAGGATGGAGTCGGCAGCTTCTTCTAAGGTGAGGCCTCTAGACTTTGCTCCACCCATGTCTTCCATTGCGCTGCTCGATTCTCCTGGATTGTAAAGATTAAAGATGCAAAATATGTACATGATTATGTTTCTTGACTTTTAAAAGGCCGAATAGCATCACATAGAAAAAGGATCAGACATAAATCGGAGTGTAAGATGAACATACCGAGCACACCATTTTCAGGATGTGTGTCAATAGTTGCTGTTGTGACATCATCGCATACAACTGAAACACAAGCATCTGGAAATTCAGTCGTGCGCTTCAAATTGGGGGAATCAACTTCAGATTGTAATCCAGCAGATAAAATCTCAGGATTCTCACTTTCCATTTTCGATATTGCATCTAAAGAGCTCGGATAGGGAAATTCCACAGCATCGATCGTGTTAACACAAGAATTTTGTGTTGCATCTTCCTTTTGAGTTGGGCCATGGCTGTCTACATTCTCATGTAATCCTTGTTCTTCAGTAGTCATAATCGAGACCATGTGAGTATCCCCTGTCTGGTCATCTTTCAATTGGCTTGATAGTTCCACAGCAGTTTTTACTAGAGTATTGCTTTCGACATCAGTACAGGTACTTTCAGCTTCCATGCCTTCATCAGCTATTGTTTGACAGTGCAAATCTACACTTATCACAACCCCAACTTCTTTGTTGAAATTATTTGTAGCGATTACCTCGCAATCATCTGGATAACTTGGAGTTACACTAGGGACCTGAGATGTGTGGCCTGAAGCACCAGATGAAGATGAGAGGGAACGTTTGTGCTCTGAAATCATCTCATGCCTGTGACTCTCCATATCAGATTTTTGGCTACTTAATTGCCCGTGATTCCGTGTTTCTGTTTGCCTAGAAGATCCTAGATCAACAGACGATGATACAGAAGCACTACTACGCCCAATGGAGCTTCTCATGCCATTTAAACTATCCCTCACGTAGGAAAAATCTTTGAAACTTGTATTACTTGCTGTAAAACTCCTACTTTGAACAAAACAGCCTCTGCTGCCGCTGCTGGATCTCTTTAATACCAGTGATATGCCCGTCCCTTCAGAGATATCGACCTTTGAATCCAAAGAGTTTCCAGACTGCAACGATTGTTGATGGCTTGAGCCAGCATTCACATAGTGATTAATCTTGTCTTGTTCTTCAATCAGTGTTACAGCAAGATCCTTGATCGACTCACTAAATGGATGCTGACTGTTGTTTTCGAAGTTGTCAACATACTGTATTGCTGTTTCGGGTATTGAGGTGGATGGATTTAAATCCTCAACTGTCAAACCCTCCGCATTCTGAACAAAGTTGCTTCCAGCATGTTCATCAGCTTTGACTTGTTTTGCTCGAACTATTTCAGTCGAATTCACTCCCAAGCTCTTGCATTCCTGACAAATCCGTAAATCTCCTTCCCTTACTAATTCACTAACATGAAACTTGCGATTGCATTTTGAGCATATTTCGACATCCAAAACCCCCTCAACATGTAAAGATTCATATTTTCCATCCATGATTCCACCATCAGATTCCACAGCTGTGGCAGTGTCAAATTGGCTACTAGCTTCAGCAACACCAGAGTGAGAACTGACTACAGAGGGGCCATCTTTTCCTGATCGTCGATAAGCAAATGATTCCTCTTCTATTTGGTTCTCAGAAGTTACATTTGAAGAATCAATCTGATCCATGACAAAAACCTCGTCTTGGACAGTTGAAAATTGCCCTTTCACAATGTTGCTGGTCACCTCCTGGTTTTGCTCACTTTCTTCAGTATCAATTGCAGCAGTTGTTCCCTGATCAGAGCTGGCATTACTGCTAGTTGTGATGGAAGAATTTCTCGATGTTAGAGCCCGATGATGGGCTTTTCCCACATAAAATGTTGAAGTGGGAACACTGGACAACAGGGGTCTGAACATATTTTGAGGCCCTTTCCGCTCCTGTAAAAAAATAGATATTAAGAGAAAAGAAACAATGAACAGCAAAAAACACTAGCTGCACACTATATGCCATGATTTCCTACAACACTTCCCACCCTGCTTCCCCTGAACCCCCCCTCCCCCCCCCCCCCCCCCCCCCCCCCCCCTCCCAAACATTAAAGATAAGGTTGAGTAAACATTAATATTCAGAATCTAGAATAGGAATAGGATTCAATAAATTGAGCTCATCCAACTGGTAATATTACTGCTCAAGCATAACGAATAGTCTGGATTTCAGACATCTTCAGAGAGTGTGGGAAGCTACATCCATTTATAGTAGAAGCTAAATTAAAGTTTTTCTCTAATTACTTAGCCCTCCTTTTGGAAAATGAGAATTATAGTTTGATTTTAACATATTCTAAAGAGTTGTTCTATGGTGGCACCTAAAACTAGTCTAAACATTTGTCAGGAATAAGTCCTGCATCACTCACAATGAAGTTTGTTCCATAGATCATAGATCAATCGGTAAGGGCTAACCTATAATAAAATTTCAACAATCAAGAAACAATTGATCACATTAAGCTTTAAAAATGAACTGAATAATAATGACATTATAGGCTGAGATCATCACATGGGTATTCAAAATGGTGCGCACTCAGCATGAATCACAGGACAACAATCGAATTTGTTGCAACATTATGACTTCCTACGTACCTAGGTGGATACATGCAGATGCAAGATTGAATCACTTACACATGCAACATATCAATAGAAAGAAAGGCATTTATTAAATTAATAAATATGTTGAAACAAAAATGGAAAATACAGAGAACAGCTAGCAAAATGAACAATCTTCCAGCTAAGAAATGCAGTTACTTTAACATAACTATGCACATGAAAGAAAAAGAAGAGATGATAAAAATCAGTAGCAGAAGATGCAATTTATTTCAAACAAAAGGGGGATGCCTACCATTTGTCGAAGTGCCAAGTCAAAGGACCTTTTAGGGGCAGAACTTGACACTTTAGCTGGTTTCTTTGAAAATCCCACAGCTCGATTATTTTGGAAAGAACCGGAGCTCCTTGGGGCTGAGCATTCTGAACTGCTGACAGGAATGGAATGCAGAGAATCTACCTCGTCATCAAAAGATGATACAACAGAACCTCTGCTGTAGGTACGGAACTTCTCCATCTCATGGCTATGAGATGAACTGACGCTTCTTGAAGCAGTTGGAGACATAGATTGTCTTCCAGATCTGGAACTATTTCTGGATGCTGGTGAGGACCCTCTCAAATATGATGCCGGTCTATCGGCCAGTGATGTCCGAAGATTAGGAGGTGCTTCTAGGTTGAAGTCAGGAATGCTTGATTGCCATGCATTAATTTTGGGTGAAGTAGAGTTCCCCCGGGTTGTCTTGCTGGGGGAGGTGCCTCTTGCTTTTGACGGTGTACTAGCACCAGTTGAACCAGTGCTCATTCTTCTGGGTGTCAATGTGCGGGGTGCTGAGGCAGGTGTTGGTTTAGTAGGTGGGGGAGACAGCCTGCTTGATAGATAAGAATTTCGCGAAGTTGGAGGTGGACTTGAATGAGTGGCAGAAAATGGTTGGCTTCTTGACTGCAGGGGACTAGTGCCGGATCGAGGAGATGGACTATGGCGAAGAGGGCTAGCACTACCCCTGGCACTCCTATAACCTCCTTTCTCAATCTAAAGTTGTACACAAATTTAAAAAGATTTGCAAGTGTAAACAATAGAATCAAGTAAACTCATGTCTTCTTTGGTAAAAATTAATTATGATATCTGACCGTAGATGCTCTAGAGATCGAAATAGGTTGACTCCTAGGCCTGCCTCGTGGTGCAAGAGTGGCTGGTGAAGCCTCACCATCTAAAGAAGTAAAGAGAGGGGTTTCGGGAGGAGTTATCAGCCTGCAATTAACAGCAACACTGTACATTAGTAGGAAACTCAGTGTTCTTTTGTAAATTTTACCGCAAGTTATTACTATTCAAATTATTTTTCCCTCCAAAAATATTACATCAAACCATCACTTTTCTTTTTTTTTTTTTTTTTTATATTATACTACAAATCTATTTTACATTCAAAAATCACATCATTATCTATTTATATCACATCAAACAACTATTTAAATTCAACTTTTTACTATTAAAAAAATGCAAACCCAAAAATCCAAACCCACAAACAAACACACATAAAATGTATGTGCAACTAGACAAGAAATGACAAAATATGTACATATCATACAAGAAAAAGCTCCTGTAATTTCAATCAGTTACAGATTCTTTTCAATATATATATCATAGTTGTCAATCACGGATAGCGGTGCGTAGTGGTCAATATTTAAAATGCTATAGCGGATAGCTGTATGACCGCTATTTAAGTATTTAAGAATATATATATATAATTATTATATATACAAAATTATAACAAAAATACATAAGAAAAACCTATAAATTAATTTAATAATTATCACCCAAACCAATAAAATGTCAATATATATATATAATCATAACTATTAGATACTTATATAAGCAAAAAAAAAATTGATCACTATTGTGTAATAGAGATATATCAAAGCTAATCAGATTCAAAATCTGATAAAAATTTTATTCCTCATTTTCATCGTCCTCACTGTTTAATTACTTTAGTTTATATATTTTTTTTCCCTTTTTTTCATTCTTATCAATTTATTCAATTGTATGTTCGTCACCTTGTATAATATCATTTCTCTTTTCAGAGCTAGAAGTACCTATAGCTTTCTTTCTCATTGATGTCTTGATGTTTGTATCTTAGTGTAGATAGCAGACCTATTAGCATCAACAACAACTGCCCTAGTCAAATTATCATTGTCAAAGACTAACTTATCCTCTGGAATTATCAACTTCTTTAATTAATCACTCATTGGAATCATTCAAAACAATAGGACTAATCACATCATTGCTACCATAATGATCTAATTTAGTTATACTTGATATAAATCAAATTTTGCAATTTTTTGCTTTCTAATTTGTTTCTTTTCTCGAAATGAATTTAAAATTTTAGTTAAGATTTAAAATAAATATTTTTTTCTTTTTGTCTATATTATAATAAAAAAGTACATTTATAAGTTAAAGTTAGATTTTAATTATTTACCTGTTAAAGAATAATCCAAGAAGCTACAATATAACATAGCGGAGTGCTGCTACAGGCTACTACACCACTATTGCGTAAACGCGGAATTGCGGAGCGGCCGTAGCAGCAGAGTGCCTTTCCGCTACGCTACACCGCTATTGCGCCGCTATAGCGAGCTATTGACAACTATGATATATACATATGTATGTATGTATTTGTCCAATTCTTTTAAACAATGCAAGTAATACTTGAGTTGAGAATAAAATGACAGCTACACAAAAATTCCATCTTAAAACCTAAATACACCCTAAAATGACATTGTTCCATGATGTTTCTTGTTTTCTTAGACATACGTGGCAATTGCATAAGCATGACACCCATATTATGACAACGTGTCTTAAAAAGAAATCGACGAAAGCATGATTAAAACAAAGCCACAATAAAGAGTAGTGAAACCAACCAATCATAGTCATTTTTATCTCCTTCAGCATTGAGCATGTCACTACTCTCTCCCCGAGCAGGAATGGAAATTCCAAGCTTGTAATCCGAGAAATATCTCAATTTTGTCGCTGTCATCGCAATAAATACAAAATCAACAATACTGACAATGATCACAATAAATGCATGATATAATAATAATGACATTTACCACATATTCGCCGTGAGAATAAAGGAACACAAGACATGCACCATAAAGCAAATAAGTTCAAAACAAGATCATAGAATGTGAGGCTTTACAGAAAATATCATCGAATTTGTCGTTCTGCTGAAGCAAGAAACTCTCCTTCTCCTTGTTTTGTGCCTCGTTAAATAGAATAAGATCATCATCCTTCTCCAACGAACGAATCCCGCTTTCCAGGCTCCAACCTCTCAAGTGATTATCCTCCCTCAGCTCCCTCTGACGAGAAATCTTCGTCGCAAGAGATGCAGGCATGGCTTGACTCCACACCTCACAAATCAAATTTACTCCCACAACGCCTTCAATCAAATCCTCTCAGAACTTCAAACATGGTGAAGATAATATAGATCAATCAGCAATTTAATCCTAGAAATGGATCATTCTTTACCCTAATCCACAACTCATTTCCAATTCACATTACCAATGAAGATAACGAAACCCTAATCCTTTCTACCTCCTCTGCAATCACATCATAATGACCAACAAGAATCGACCCAAATTACAAACAATTCCTCTTCCAGAAATGAAAGCACAACTAAAACACCAAATTTTCCCCGCTTACCTCAGCTCATTTAACCATTCACCACAATCCAGACACCAAATCCAAAACAGCCACAATTTGCAACAAAATCAACCTGCAGCAGAACCAACTACTTCAACATTACCACAAAATTCAGCTGCTCCAAACTCTCAAGCAAGCTGAATCCAGACCACAGTTTACGCCTCCATACCCCCAAGTCTTCACCTCAAAAACCACAAATGCACCCAACCATTCAGCACTGAAGCTCTCTGGATCTGCAGGTGGTTCGAGCTGATCCAGCGTAAACCAAGATCAGCCACAACAAAACCAAAAATCAAAGCAAAACCAAAAATTAAAGCAAAACCAAACCCTACCCGTCGAATTAAAGCAAAACAAGCCGAATGAAGTAGTTAGCTTCACGTGAGTATACGACTGTGTAGTCAGTAAGAGAAATGTCGCAGCAGCCACCGCCACCGCCGCCGTCGCCGCCGCACTAGCAGCAAATGCAATGCCGGATTTTTGTTTTATTTTTTTTTTATTTTTAAGTGGTGAAGTAAACAGACCCAAAAGATTTCTTTTTTTCCTAAAAAATTATTTATTTATTTATAAAAAAAGGTCTGACCTAATCTCCGATCTTAATATGTCTGTAGTAATTATTACATGCAATTATACAAATATCAACAAATATATATTAGTGAATAATAATAATAATAATAATAATAATAATAATAATAATAATAATAATAATAATAATAATAATGTATTAAGAAAAATAATCAAAGGCGTAATTGTCACGTCTACCAATAATCTGGACATAAATCAACCAATTAATTAAGTGCCAACAGCTATAAAATAGTCAAATCCATCAATATATAAATAAATAAATAAATAAAAATACGATTGGTTAGAAAGGGATTTACTTTGTCCAAATGCATTTTTATTATATATATATATACTCTCTGCCTCCTAGATATTTTGACCTTATTACTGTATATACGAGAATTTAAGTAAAATATAAATAAAAGGTAATTAAGAAGTGTATTAGTAAAATAATTATTATTTAATAAAAATAATTATAAATTAAAATTAAAATAACTAAATAATTTAATTAAAATTAAAAAAATTATATAATTTAAAATTTAAAATGTGATTAATATAATTATATTTCCAAAAATAAGAAATGACAAGTTACGTGTGGGAGGGATGGAGGGAGTATATATTATTGCCATGTTAGTCTGCACATGATCCATGTATAGACGCCGCGATTACGAGACTGAAATTCAATGTCTAAGTATAAATTACACCTGTCAAAATGGGTTAGTGGAGCCCACCTTAATCGGGTTATTTGTGGTCTAATTCGCGATGGGATGGATCAAAATTTCATAAGCTCAATTCAATTCATCGGCGGATGACAAGGCTAACCTAAGGTTTTTTTAAAATATTAAAAAAATATTAATATTATAAATATTTTCGTAATTAATATTTAAAAATAGCTAAAATTAATTTTATTGTAAAATTTAAATAATAAATATTTTAAAATAAATAACAAATATAAAAATCTTCAAGTATAAATATTATTAATTGATGTATTAAAAAAATTAATAATAAAAAATAAATCATAATTAATTTTATAAATTTGTAAAATTATAAAATAATAAAATGGAAGACAAACTTGAAACAAATAACAATGTCATGAATAACATAGTTAGAGAAGAAAAACAATCATGTAGACAATATTGATAATTTATTTAAACTAGTGATAATATTAATTTTATTTTATTTGTCTTAACTTATTTATAAGGGTATGTTTGTAATTTATAAAAAATTAAAATATATTCTTATATTAATATTTGATTAATTTTATTATAATTTTTTACTACAACAGTAAAAAAATGGTAAAGACCCGCGGGCTAACTTGCTCCACTGGGGCTAACCCACCCTCAACCCGCGGCTCATGCGAGTTAACCCTTTTAGGCCCGTATTAACAGGTTTAAAAAATCACAATCCAACCATCCTTAAAAGTAAGGAGACACGGACCAACCCGACAGGCTCAACCTATTTTGACAGGTCTAGGATAAATATATAATGCTCTTTTTTAACAATATACTATTTTAATAATAATAATAATAATAATAATAGTGTATTGCCTTTTTCTTTATTTTTAAATTTGATCTTTTTTACTTGAAATAATTATGAAAAGCAATAGTTCCTTCTAAATAAAAAATATTCAATAGTAAATATATACACACTTAAAGCTTTCAAAAGTGAAATGAGAACAAAAAGTATGCTTTAGTGTTGAAAATCTTAATTGTAACCCTTTCTATTTATTTTTTTTATGGACCTAGTTTGCGGGATATTAAATTCGACTGGGAATTTACTCAGTGCGCACTTTCGGATAGCAATCGAAAATTCTCACGTTATAATAAAAAAAAAAAAATGGAGAACAAGTCCCGTGTGGGATTGCTAGGTGGTGCAGACGTTGAACTTGTAACCCTGCGGTTCCCACGTCATATAATATAAAAAAATAATAATAAAATAGAGAACTATTACAGACCAATCTTTAATGGGCAATTGTTTGAAATTGCCATGCCCAAAAAAAAAAAAAAAAGAAAAATTACTTCAACATTAAAAATACTAGTTAAAAAATTCAAAGAGAACATAATCTAAAATATAATTTAGATTAATTATGAAAGCAGCTAAACTGAAGTAGCCAGCAATACCATGTAATAGTAATGAACTTTTATCACTGAAAATTATACTAAATTAAAAATACAAACTCGACAAATAGTCGACCCGACCCGACCCACAAGCCCAAACCTGAACCCATTACAAATTTAGCATAAACAATATAAGAAGTATGATAGATATATATATATATACTGGTGCGTGCCGTATCGAAACATTTGGTATACTGATTTATCATATACCACACAATATGACTCGGAAATCCCAGAAAATAAAAGGCTAAGAACATCATCAAAATTCTGGGAAAGTTTTCAACAATTCAACAGCTTCACATAAAATCAATTCTCCAAAAGAAAAGATCTAACCAAGTAGGGAAAAACATACTCACAGATTCCTGGCCGTTGGATTCATCATGAAATGTATCTGTCCTGCTGTTCTTGAAGGAGCTTCGCCGACGATTTGGCGTCAAGATAAAGAGTGTTCACTTCTTCCAGGTCGACCTGTGGAAGGTATAGTAGGTTTTACATCATCTGTACTGTGGATACAGTTGTCCGTTAAAAGAGTATCATTTCGGTTGGTTAAAGTGCATACCTTGCAGATATTATCTCGGCCGTTCATTTTGGCGACAATGCTGCCGGGAGACAGCAACTGGACGGCATGCCTCAAAGATGTTTGTTGTCCAATCTCTCCAAGATACGCCAGGCTTTCCTCGTCTATTTTGAGTTCCTCCACCTGTGCTCGGATAGCTAATATCTGGTGCCATAACTCAACCCAGTGTTTCCGTTTCCTAAGTAAGAAAAATGTGTAGACAGACAAATGGGGTTATTCGTGGAAAGATGAGATCAAACCTGTATCATTTCGGCAGGGCCGTAGGTTTCTGTCCTTATAATGACGAGTCGGTCCAACAAGTCCACCGGTATGCCATGAGGACTCGTCATGTCTGTTCCTCTGCAAACAATTGGTTTAATCTAAGAATTTGTTATGTGATTAGGCAATTGAGGCGTGGGGAATCAGTTCACGACAATACCTGACACTACAGATTCCTCGATTCGTGGCGAAGATCACTATTGGAGAAAGTGAACTTTCTAAAGCGCGATTTAAATAAGAAAAGCATTCCATATCCAGCATATGAACCTGAAATGCATTTTAATGGTGAGGAGAAGACGCAGAAAGCAGACCATTTGTTGTCAAAATGTAGCTAAATATGTATGAAATCGAACCTCATCAATAAACAAGACACCGGGAACGAGCTCTGCCACGCCTTCATCTATGTACCGGTTAACAACCTGGAATTAGTTATTCAGCCAAGCAAAATGTTTTATGTATTTTACTATATCCTGGGAAGGCTAGCGATTGTTTCAGGGCATGTAATTTGAGAGATTGACACGGACATCAGCTCAATTAATTCATTTCATACCTTATTTATTTCTTGCCGGAGCTTGTCAGTGATTTCAGTTTTCCGGGGCTTCATCATCTGTCCCATCAGGGACAATATATCCTGTCCTCCTTGAGGCCGTGCATTGGCAGCATCTAGATCATGCAAAGTCACATCCTAGCATAGGAGATATTTTGACATTGAACATTTTATATCTTTTTAATGGAATTGAACAAAATGAAACCCAACTTCAGAATTTTATCATGCAATAAAGTGGAAGTAGTCTTTATTTTCATCACAAGAAATCAACAGAAGCGGCACATCAAAGTGTGTCTCAAGAATTCGAAGCACAAGACTTCAAATAAAAAGATCACAGAATTTGCATGCAATGTAGGTCAATAGCTGAATACATACAATACAACATGTGGTCAGAAAGAAGACTATAGGTATTGAGATTTCACGGTGTGGATGTGAAGTTTCGATGGTGATGTTACCCAGTCATTAATGGCTAATTTAAAAGAAATCTTACTTAGCATAGACAAGTAACTGATATACCTGAACTATCTCCTTCTTTTTATGAACCTCTCCTTTGGGGAGTGGAACATATTCTTCGGCCTCCAGATCAAATTCAGTGGCGAAAGCATCACTCCTTCCTACCCTTTTAACTGCTCCACTATTTGCTTCAATGTAGATAACATCTCCGACAGCTACCTAAATTTTATAGCACTTATTTATGTTGAATCAGCAATATATGATAATCAAAAGTTACATGGCATCATGGTGCCATTAAGAGTGGCGAATTATTGAAGTAACATGCTTAAAAAACAGTTTGCAGTATGCAATGACATGCTAATTTCGACATTAGGGTAATACTTGGACTTCACAGCGCAAGTGGAATACCGACACCATCATAAAGAGCAACAAGAAAAGCTAGTTTTCGGGAAACTAACCTTTTCCTTGATCAAGGCGTCATAAATCGTTGGATCCAACTTCAACTGTTTAGTACCCTTTACAGTTTTCAACCCAATTATAACATGGCTAATACTTTTACCATATCCACCAGTAGCACTCTCAGTTTCTTCCGGAGAAAGTTCAGTCACCTGTGACATAAGTAGCATGCATTATGCCAGTATTGAAAACTAGAAATGATATATCATACTAACAAATCACTAAGAAATGGAAATGGACAGATAATCAGAGTGCGTCATTCCTTCTTCTATTACTATCTCTATCTTAAAAAATGTATCATTTACCTCTCCCTCATAAACCTCCTTGTTTTCCTTGATTCGAAGACCAATAGCTCTGCGAAAGTTCTCCATTAAAACCTCAGTCTTCTTTACTTCTGATGAATACACTTCAGATCCAACCATCGGGCAAAATGGGACCTGTGCTTTCAGTTCAGGGCACCAAACAGAAGGAAGAATCATTTAACCATTAATACAATAGACACTAAGGTTGTGTTTTTTTGTGTGTTTTAGCCCAGGTTTTTACTATTCAGATCATTTTTTCCCTCCAAAAATATCAAATCAAACAATTATTTAAAACAATTATTTAAGGAAGAAGTACATTTTTTTTTTTTTTTTTTTATATTATACTACAAATTTTTTTTCATTCAAAACATCAAATCAATATATATTTATATCACAGCAAACAATTATTCAAATTCAATTTTTTACTATTCATAAATCCAAACCCAAAAACCCAAGCCCACAAACAAACACACCTTAAGATGTTATCTCGACAAGATGGATATATAACTTCAAAACACAGTACCAATCATACATACCTTGCTACCAAGTTCTTGGGAAATTCCTAGAGCAAGGGCTGTTTTTCCGGTTCCCGGGGGACCGGCAAGCAGCAATGCCCGCCCAGCCATCTTCTTTTGGCTGATCATATCTACCACAAGGCCAGCAGCTTCCTTGCCCCACAAATCCAGAAGCCAAAGGCAATGCTTTTCCAGTAGGCTACAACATAATCGGCAAGCACAAAAAACACATCAGATGAATCCACTCGCTAAAATTGAAATGAAAATATTCTCATTTTCTTCCTCAATTATCAACTTCAGCAACTCTCCTTCTCTAATAAACCCTCCATTTGTACCACAATCGCTACAGTATACTCTAATATTGCAAAATCCTAAACCCTAGGCAACAGCTCCATATCATCAGACTAGTTGGCGCATTACCCTAAATCACAGAAAAATGGATAAATTACTGTAAAGTTACCTCGAGGCCGAGGCCTTTGATGTGTGTATGAGTTGCAACTCTCTGGTTCTTCGTGGTGGATTGTACTTCTTCTATCTTCATCTCGCACTTCTTCCTCTTTCTTCACTTTCTTCGCGTACTTCGATTAGCGGCTTTTTCTTTTCTTCCTCTCAACTGCAGCAACAGAATTCCTCAAAACGCAATCAGTCACCACACTCCCATTATTATGAAATACAACAAAATTGATCAAAGAACTGGAGAGAGAGTAAAATGTCTTCAAAACTTTGAATGTCACGTAGCAGAAAATTACAGAAAACAAAAAATCGATACCCAAATCAACACCAGCAATAACAAAAAATGAGAGAAAGAAATGCATACAAAGTGTTGAGCACAAAAAATAATAATAATAAATAATGGCAGTGGATTCTGGACGGGTCTGGATATAAGTTAAATGACCCAGAAGTCGGGTGCAATCGGACAGATGCAAGGATCGGGAAGGAAGAAAGGTCGGGCGGAGTCTGAAAAAAGGTGTACCCAAATCGGGTAAACCGTAGATCGGGTGAAAGACGAAGTCGGGCAGACGCAAAGGGATAAGGCAAATAGAGCCGGTCGGTTGGTCCGTGGTCGGGACCACATTTGGTTGGTCCATGGTCGGACCAATTAAAGTCGGTCAAAGACGGAGGGCGGCTGATGCGGAGGTCGGCCCAAATGATGTCGGGCGAAGAAGCAGGTCGGGCATTGAGGTCAGGACGTGATACAAAGTTTGGACCAAGTGAAGTCGGGCGAAGAAGAATGAGACGGACGATACGTGGTCGGGCAAGAGACCCGATGGCGGTCGCCTGGTTGGGGCGACCATTGAATCGTATGGGGAAATCAGATGTTGGTCGCTTGATGGGGCGACCAATAAATCGTTCGGTCCGGCGACCAGTTAGTCTCTGGATTGGTCGGGTAGCACTTAGGTCGGGCGAATGGCATTTCTGGGACGGTTTAAGGCGTGAGAGGTTTGGGGAGGTTGAAGGAAGTTGTAACACGTGTCAATTGAGGAGAATTTGATGGTCGGTTGACAGCGGTTGCTGTAACCGACCAGACGGCGGTTCAAACCGTTTTCTTCAAAGGCTATTTAAGGATTCAGATTTATTCTGAAAAGGCATCTTCAATCAACTTCAACAAAGCAAAGTCAGATTTGGGGATCACCATTTTAAATTTCAGTCTTTTATTTTCCAGTTTATTTTCTGTACCTTACAGTGTTTAGAGATTCCTAATCTCAGGTACTAATTAATCAAGTTTAAGGATATTTTCTATATCTTTGAATTTTACTTTATTTTTGTTGAAAAATTACATCAACAAATTGGCGACCACACAGTGGGAGAAAATTGCTGATCCATATGGCAAATTTTCAATTCCACAGTACAGCCGTTGGCTTTATCACGGCAGAAGAAGCTTCCCAACTACGGGCCGAATTGACAGCAGGTTTTCGGCAAATGTACGACCAGCAGATAGCAAATCTGCAGGCAATACATGACGCAATGCAAAACTTGATGGAGCAATCAAAATTCATGTTGAATTCAGTTCCTGCACCGCCAGAAATGTCATGCCCCCAAACGGACAACGCCATTCCTGAGCATATACCCAGTCAGACAGACTGGAGACAGGACCAAACAGGAGGACAGGCCCGACCAGGGACGACCGAATGGACGGAGACAGGTCGGCAGGATCACGACGCCTGGACGGACCATGGTCGGGAAGACCACACCGACTGGACGGACCATGGTCGGGAGGACCACACCGAATGGACGGACCGTAGTCGGGACAACCACATCGACTAGATGGACAAAGGTCGGGAGGACCACGCCGACTGGACGAATACAGATCGGGAAGACCACGTCGACTGGACGGACAAAAATCGGGAGGACTACGTAACCTGGACGGATACAGGTCAGGAGGACCCCGCCGAATGGACGGATACAGGTCAGGAGGACCCCGCCGAATGGACGGACACGGGTCAGGTCGCCGACCATAACTTTTCAGGCGAGCAAAAGAATGACAGAACAACAGTGGCCGAAAGGAGGAATAAGTCGGACGGGAGTCTGAATACAATGGTAGTGCAAGATCGACCAACGTCCAGGCCAGCACCAGTCCGCGATAAATGGAGGTCGGGTCCAACGTAGCCTCAAAGGATGGAGGTCGGATCTGAGGCTGACGTAGCCTCGGATGCTAACCTACTAACTCCTAAAACATCATAAGAAATGATGCTTAGGAGTCTTGAGGAGGAGGCATGTTGTTACGCACAAAAAATAATAATAATAATAAGGTATCCAGAGTCAGTCGATGGGTTCTCAGTCGGTTGGTTCTCAATCAGATAAGCAAGTCAGATGGTCCGCGGTCGGGCAAGCAGGTCGGATTATCCGCAGTCGGATAAATGGGTGGCGAAGAAAGGTCTGTTGATAGGTCAGACGATTGAAGAGACCAAATAGTGGTCCAGTGAGTCTTTTGATCTGGCGACCAATTATGTATCTAGATTGGTCGGTTGGTCGGTCGTTGGGTTATGCGGTTGGCGAGG